GGCTTCACAGCACTGCCTGGGGGTCCCTCTGCTCAGGCAGGGATAGTCCCCAGGCTCCTGCTCTCCAGCCCAGAGCAGTGCCCCAAGCCAGCCCTGTCTGACGACCCCATGCTCCTGGTGGCTTTCCCTGCCTGCCCTCCTTCACCGAGGGCCTGGAGAGCATCCTGCCTGCTGGGGAACAGTCATCCCGCAGATCCTGCACCTCACCGGCAGCAACCTGGTGCCTCCACACTCTCCCACCCCTCCCAGAGCTGAGGGAGGACACCATCCTGCTCTGGGCACAGCAGTACCCAGTGACATCCCTGCCCCAAAGAGCCATGCCCAGGGGCTAATCTGGTCCAGCGCTGCATGGAGGGTGGAGGATGGGGACTGCCAAGCCTGGGGCAATTTTTGGGCTCAGAGGGTGGATGATTCAGGCCCTTTCCCAGAAGCAGGGCAGCTGCGTTGGCGCTCACTTGGAGCCAGCAATGCTCTGTAGCACCCTGGGCTCCCTCCCTGCCTTTCCCTTGGGGCTCTCTCCCTGATGGAGCCAGGGCCAGGGGCAGGTTTTTCCCACGTGGTTTTGCAGCAGGGTAGCAGAAGTGATTTGCCCTTCTGGTTTTTCCTTCCTTGCTTGCCCTGCACAGCCTCGTGCTGGGGGAGCTGGGTGGAGGGGAGGGCTTGTGCTGGGCATTAGAGGAGCCCAGGAGGCCAAAACCCAGCCTGTGGCAGGGACCAGCTGGCCAAGGGAAGGCATCTGCTTGCCCTACCAGCTGGTGTGTCCCTGCACTGGTGGGAGATGCACTTGTTGCCTGTCTGGGTCAAAAGAGGAGCAACAGATCCCCCTTTCTCTATTGATACCTGTGATATTTGTGACCTATGTGGCTGGCATCAATCTGAGACTTTCCTCAGTGATGTGTGTGGGAGTTTCTCATCACAAACACCCACCATGCTCCATGAGGGGCTGAGGTTTCAGGCTTGCCCTGGTACTAGTCTCGGCCACAGCCACTTTGCTCAGGGCTTTGTTCCAGGGGCACAGGCATGGGATGCCAGTGGCACGGCACGCGGCTCCCTGGAGACATCCTGCCTGCCTTGGCAGCTGCTGGGCAACTTTCCACTGCTTCTGGGGCAACTTTCCACTGCTTCTGGGTCACCTTCCTGCAGGGGACCCTTCTGGGACTGTCCTCACGGCTTTTTAGCATCCTCAGCTTAGAGAACTCCTGGGCGTGCACCTGCAGCACTTCTGAAAGCCTCACGCCTCCTGTGATGTGGCCCTGCAGGACCCCCAGGGCAGAGCCAAGCTGACTGCGCAGTGTTTCCCTGTGACCCAGCCGCACACCAGCTCTTTTTGGTCCCCCAGCCATGGATGACACTCGCGGTCATCCCCGACACACCGGGTCACACACCGTCTTGTGGCCAGCACCAGGGGTTGGCCCGTCCTGGTGGGTCATCCCTTGTGGAGCAGAGCAGGGAACTGGGGCTTCCCAGGGTGAAGTAGCCAGAGTTACACTTGTGCCTCTTCCTTTTGTGCTTTTCCTTCCTCTTCCCCCTTCCCCTTTTCCCTTCCCTCCCACTGCAGTAGGAGGAGGGACTCCAGCTTGCCAAGCCTTTGCTTTTGGGTTTTATTTCTGTTGTAGTCACAAATTAATCTTTGCTGTTAGGGGATAAAACCCAGGACAGATGGCTCCAGGGAGAGCCTGGGAGGCCTGAGGCAAAGCGGCCGGCATGCTGCTCTTCCCCTGTGGCTAATGGCAGCATCGCTTGTGGGGTCATCACATGATGCCACGTCGGGCTCTTGGGCCAGGAGCGAAGGTTCACTCCGAACAACTGGGGAGAGGATGTGGGGGGTCTGGCGGGATGCGGAAGGGGGTGCCAGCCCCTTTCCACATTTCAGAGCCCTGTGTCACCCCCACACAGTGATACCCGCACCCCATGTGCCCCTGAGCCGGGCGGGCCAATGGCTGTTTGGGGGGGGGTCTGTGGGCACTCAGCTCCATCTCTCCTGTTCCCCACAGCCACAAGTCAGGACCCTGTCAGCATGGCAGGGAAGTGTGACACCATCTACCAGGGCTTTGCTGGCTGCCTGATCAGCCTGGGGGACAGCATGGCCCAGAGCGTCCGGCGGCAGCGGGAGGAGGGCGGCAAGGAGGCGCAGGAGCTGGACACAACAT